AATTGTTTTCTAACGTTGTATTAGTTTGTGGAACTTGATTCTGAGTTCCTTCTTTAATTTTGAAATCGCATCTGAAATAAGCATCGGAAAGAAGCAACCAATTCGATAATGAATTTATTTCGAAGGTAATTCTACCACCATCATTCAATTGGGATTTAGAACCAACAGTCGGTGAGATGATAATATAATCCTCTTTTTTCTTGTTAAATGAATAACGAATCGGATCGTATGATCTAAAGATTGGATCTAGTATTTTATTTGCCATTTTTAAGGTTTAAAATTTGAGTAGAAAATTGTTTTTTCCAAAACGAGACTATTAAAAAATGTTATGTATTTTTATATAAGGGTATTTTTAATATGCTTTTTTTGATAGAAAGTAGGAAATTGATTGAAGGTGTTTTTTGGTGTATGAAATGTAAGGGTGTTTAGGGTGTAATAATTTATAGGGAGTTTAGGTCTTTTTTTAGTGTAAGAATTTATGAAATGTAGGGTGTTTAGGTTTTTTAGTATATGAAATGGTAAGTCGGCATATGGTAAAAAGGGGGGTGTAGTGTACATACACTGGATGGCCAATTTGGTAAAAAAATTTTTTTGGTAAACAGGTAAATGGTAAAATGGCATAAGGTAATGTACACATACTACTGATGTATTGTTTGCTGAAATTTTCCTCCATGGATCACCAAAAGATGTTCAATCAAAAATATAAAATAGATTGCGTAATTTAGCCAATGTTCAAAACCGAGGTCAATGGGTCCCGGCGTCCACATATGTAATAGATAGTAATAATGTTCAAATACAACAAGGTCGTAATAATAATGATAACTAGAGCCGTGCCACGGTACCAAAGCAGTGCCCATCCGACCTGATACATCGGTGAAACGTTGCATTTTAAAGGCACAATGGGATTTCTTAACGAAAAGAAAAGCATGTAAACATTCAATATTAAAAATATCGTTTAAACCGTTTAACGTTCGGTAGTGAAGAGACGCATGAATTTGATACCATTCGGTACTAAAAGGTGTTAACATTCGGTAAAAGTAAGGTTTCGCTTTATTTATCCACGCTGTAGTGTTAGATTTTTTGGTTTCTAAAGATAAAGAACCTAATCCAAACTTGTTCGCCATTTTTATTGAGTTAAATTTATTACAATTTCTTCGAATTGTTTTCCTAAACTCAACTGATATAAAACCCAAAGTGAAAGCTGGCCACAAAACTTTTGTCCCGGTAATTGAATTTGAAATGTTGAACATTTGATTGGTTTATTAGTCAATTGGATTATCTCTTCAGTGGGTTCTAATCCATAAGAATCGAAAAAATATAAGTCATTTGAAGAGTCTTTGTACAAAGCAGAATGATGAACTCCTTTTTGATCGGAAGTATGTATATTTGTTATCGAGTAAAATTTACCTTTCTTATATTTCAGATCATTTATTTCATCTCTCATACAATAATAAATCGGTGATATATTTAAATCATTCGCCCATCTCATAAGTTGAAAATTTGTGGTTGTATCGGTTCCATATTTATCGAGAAAGATATTCATTTTAAAAGTCGGTTTTTTTAGGAGTATGCGGTAAATATTGTTGAAAACCCAATTGATGAAATATATACGTAGTTTGTGTTTGAAAAAAATTGTATTACATTCTGATAAAAACACATTCAATAATATTTTGAACATAAATTTGCATTTAAATCTAAAAAATTTAAATTTAAGAAAGCGTAAATGCTTTTCTACATCTAAATTTCTTAATCTTCTATCAAATTCTTCATCATCATCTTTGTTTTCGAGAAATTCATTCATTTTTAAAAGTCGGTTTTTTGAAGTTCATTTTGATAAAACCTTCCTATGATTTGTTCTTTGTCTTGATCGATTAATTCATATGTCTGAGGTGATGTGGTGTTTACTTTATCAACGATGAATATTTCGTTTGTCCAGTATCCAACGTAACCTTTTTCGAATTTGCTTTTATATTTGAAAATACGAACTCGATCTCCGACTTTAAATTTGGGTTTGATATTTAAATTCTTTATTTTATTTTCGTAGTTATGTTGCGCGTTAATTTACTTTATAATATTTGGATTACTCGAGGCTTGTGTTGGTGTGACAGCTATAGATAAATGAATTTTGTTAATGTATTCATCTACAACCTCTGGTAATATTTTAAGCCAATTTTGAGATTTCATTTCCGTGAACTTTTTGAATAATTTATTTTTTAGAGTTCTATTATATCTCTCAATAACTACAGCTTTACCTTCATTATGTGTACTGTAAATTTCAAATCCCAGAGATTTCATATTTTTGTTATAAAATTCACTTCCTTTATCTACCCACAGTTTTTCTGGATGTCGGTTAGATTGTTTCATAATCGTTTCAAATGCGTGTTTGACTGATAATCCTGTTTTGTTTTTCAAAGGAATAACCCAAGCATATCTCGTATACAAATCTATAACTGTTAAGCAATATTTAAATCCTCTTTCGACTGGCATATGAATTAAATCGGCTGACCATATTTCATCTTTTTCAAACACTTTTAGTTTTTCTAAATTCTTTATGAATTTCATCCGCCAATCCCAAGCCTAATTTCATCTTTGCTTTTAACAGTTTAGAGCCCTTTGCATTCTCTCTTTGAAAGTTGGATTTGGAATATTTTCCAGTTCAATAATCATTTGTCTGTCTGCCTCGTGTCTGAAGTTTATGTCTGTTTCTGTATAGTATGTCGTGTTTAAGCGCAGCGGCGTCAACTCTATTGACTGGTTCTTTGACCGGTTTGGGTTTATCATTTTCGTCTAATCTCAGATCTAACCTGGTACCTGGACCGGTGTAATTATGACCGGGAAATGTTTTTCTCCGGAATATTTCGCCCATGGAAACCAGGAAGAGAACCCAATGATTTTTGTATATCTGAACCAAAATAAGTTTTTGGAGCGTGAGCGACTATCATTTTAATCCTATAACTTTAAAACCTTTTCCTTTCCTTTCTTCTAATCTCCTGTTTCGCAGTTCTCTTATTAGCTCTAATTCTTTCAACTCGTTAGATTGTTTCACTGTGTCGCTTATACTCTTTCCCGCTTGGGCGATTGAGCCGACGGCTTTCGCTCCGGTTGAAATGAGTGATTTGTTGTTTGAAACAAAGCTAGCTACTTTTGGAATTTTTGTTTTACCTAGAGAAAATAATGAAGAAAAGATACCGTCGCCCGAATAATCTTCGAATCTGTGTCGTTCGTGTTTTAGAATTAAACTCATACTATTTTTAAATTGTGTTTCCAAAAACAAGAGTTATCTCCCTTAAAAATAACATTATTTCAAAACGAGGCTATTAAAAAATGTTATGTATTTTTATATAAGGGTATTTTTAATATGCTTTTTTTTATGGAATGTAGGAAATTGATTGAGGTGTTTTTTGGTGTAAGAAATGTAGGGTGTAGTTTAGGTGTAATAATTTAAGGGGGTTTAGGTCTTTTTAAATGTAGGGTATTTTTTAGTGTAAGAATTTATGAAATGTAGGGTGTTTAGGTCTTTTGCTGTAAGAATTTATGAAATGTAGGGAATTTAGGTCTTTTTTGGGAGCTTATATATTGGTCGCATTTTCCCCATGAAATGAAATGGAATGGGGAATCCCCGTGCAACCAATATATAAGCTCATACACTACTATTACAAAGTGATTACTCACCGATAAAAAAAGGTGAATAATCACCATTTACTGAATGATTACTCACCATTTACAAAGTGATTGCTCACCATTTACAAAGTGATTGCTCACCATTTACAAAGTGATTACTCACCATTTACAAAGTGATTACTCGCCGGTAAAAAAGGGATTACCCACCAATTACAAAGTGATTACTCACCGGCAAAGAAAGAAAAGGAGGAGATTACTCACCAATTACAACGTGATTATTCAAGGGATTTAAGGGAGGTAATTAGTCTCTCAAATTGATTTTTATAGTTCTAGGGGGGTAATTAGTCTCAAAAAAATAGTTTTTGCTATATTAGTGAGGTCTCTAAAATATTGAATTTTCCTATTTAAGAGAGGTAATTAGTCTCTTGAAATTAATTTTAAATTTAAGGGATGTAATTAATCTCTCAAATTGTTTTACAGTTCAAGGAAGGTAATTAGTCTCTAAAAACAAATTTTCCAATTTAAC